CCGAACCGAGGGCACAATCACCCTTCTTCCCGACCAGGGGCAGATCATGGCAGCCACGCGGAACCAGGGGATCCTCCTATGGCCGTCGGCCTTATGGTGAGTCACTCCACATTACACACCATTCCCTTTGTACCTGTGGGGGGCAGATTGTTTCAATTCCAGGATGCGTGGCACAACCTAACCTCAGATACATGGGTCCTAGAGACCATCCTCGGCTATCACATCGAATTTACACAACAGCCGATTCAACTCTCATTGCCACATCGGATTATTTTTTCCCCACTAGACAAACAGCTAGTGTTAAAGAGATTCGCGCACTGGAGAAAAAATGTGCGATATACAGGGTTCCCATTACCGCCCCCGGGTTCCTAAGCAACATCTTCTTAGTACCCAAGAAAGGTGGGGGCATGAGGCCAGTAATAAACTTGCGGCCTCTCAACGCCTTTGTCACATACCATCACTTCAAGATGGAAGGAATACACTGCCTCCGAGACCTACTAAGACTGGGAGACTGGATGGTAAAATTGGACCTCCAGGATGCATACCTCACAATACCGATTGCCGAGGACTGTCAACAATTCCTGCAATTCCAATGGGACCAGACGATGTGGCGTTTCCGCTGCCTCCCTTTCGGCCTGTCTTCAGCCCCGTGGTGCTTCACCAAACTGCTGAAACCGGTAGTTGCCCTCCTTCGCAGCAGAGGTGTACGTCTGATCATATACCTCGACGACATGCTGATCATGGCCCAAGACACACAGCTACTGAATCAACACCTATTCTGGACAGTAACCCTTTTACAAAACCTAGGTTTCCTAATCAATTGGGACAAATCGATCCTACAACCTTCACACTCGATAGAGTTTTTGGGTTTCGATATAGACGCAGTACACGGAACGCTCAGTCTTCCTACCGCAAAAGTAAAACTTATCAAGAAGGAAATCCGGAGGACGTTGGCTCGACCAGTCTTAACCCTCCGACAGCTAGCCAGGATAATTGGCCTGCTCTCGGCCTCTATACAAGCGATCTTCCCAGGCCCTCTCCACTACAGATCCCTACAACAACTCAAGGCAACCCACCTACGCTTGGGTCAATCCTATTCAGATTCTGTACCTCTAGACTGCGCGGCAAAAGAGGAACTGGCATGGTGGCTTCAACACATGGAAGCATGGAACGGCAAGGCAATCTTCGGCGCCACTCCGGATCTAGTCATAGAATCCGACGCGAGCAGACTGGGATGGGGGGCCCGCTGTGGTCCTACCTCTACAGGTGGAAAATGGTCTTCCGAAGAAAAAGAACTCCACATCAATGGTTTGGAACTCCTGGCTGGGTCATTCGCCCTACGGAGCCTCCTCGGACACACGACCAATTGTTCCATACTCCTACGCATGGACAATGTCTCAGCCGTCCGCTACATCAACCACTTGGGTGGCACGAGGTCCTCAATCCTCACGAACTTGGCGAAAGAATTCTGGCATTTCTGCCTGAGTCGCAGCATATCCGTACAGGCGGAATACCTCCCAGGCCTCTCCAACACCGTAGCGGATTGGCACTCCAGGCATTTACGAGACAACAGTGCATGGCGATTGAATCGCACAGTATTCCAGAAACTCCACCAACTCTGGGGACCGATGCACATCGACCTTTTTGCCTCCCGGCTGAATGCTCAACTCCCCTCATTCTTCAGCTGGAGACCGGACCCAGACGCCACGGCAGTGGATGCCTTCCTACAAAATTGGCCGAACACCAGGCTATACGCCTTCCCCCCTTTCTCACTCATAGCGCGGACTCTCCTACACTTACAGCGCTCCCGAGCATCGTTGGTTTTGATAACACCGTTCTGGACGGCACAGCCATGGTTCCCTTCCCTCATGGAAATGTCAATCGACCTCCCCAGATTGATTCCAGGGAGCACGGAATTATTATCAGATCCCGATGGGAACTCTCATCCACTTCTGGTGCAAGGTCATCTCAGACTCCTAACATGGCTCCTCTCCGGGGACCCTGGACCATGCCGAATGTTTCACAAACGACTTTGGAATTATTGGCAGGAGCTTGGGCCCCAGGGACAAGACGTTCCTATGCTCATGCCTGGAACACATGGTGTAGTTGGTGCGTGGAACGGCACGTGGATCCCATACGTGCTCCTATAAACCAGGTTTTGGGCTTCCTTACTACCCTTTATGATCAAGGCTTGGCTTATCGCACCATAAATGTGTACAGGTCAGCGATTTCAGCTGGGCACATTGGTTGGGAAGGCTTCCCGGCTGGGAAACACTTATGGATCTGTCGTCTCCTACGGGGCATAAAATTTGCACGTCCGCCACAACCTCGTTACACGGCCCTATGGGATGTGAATATGGTCCTTCGGTTGTTGCAAGATTGGCCCCCAAACTCGAACCTCACACTGAAGCAAGTGTCTGCAAAATTGGCGATGCTCCTATGCTTAATTTCCTGCAAACGGGTATCAGACGTGAGGGCCTTAGATATCGATGCACGATCATTCACACCGGATGGTGTCCTGTTTAATATCACCAGACGTACGAAGTCGAACACCACTTCAGTCTTCTATCCCTCCTTTCCTCACAACGCTAACCTCTGCCCGGTAGCATGCCTGCAGGAATATGAATTACGGACACAGCCATTCCGGAACCCAACAACACATAATTTGTTCTTGGCAGTGAGAAAACCTCATCAACCAGTATCCACGGGAACTCTGACACGTTGGGTGAAATGGATAATGTCAAATACTAACATCGACACAGCCGTTTACGGAGCACACTCTACTAGAGGCGCTATGGCCTCTAAAGCATTCTCCATTGGATGTAAACTGGAAGACCTCCTCCGCACAGCTGACTGGTCCCGAGAATCGACGTTCAAGGAATACTACTTTAGACCAACAGAACATATCTCATCTAGGGTCATATCACAGCTTTAAACTAGCCTAATAAGAGCCTCCGTGTCCTTTAATAAAATTACCAGATTTTACTAATTACATGACGTAAAGTCATGATTTTATAAAGGACACGGAGGCGAGTATTAGCCCGCCCACTGAAAGGTAAGCCGTACACGTATTTTTTTCCCACCCACTTGCTCATAAACAAGTTATAGCATTTTGGATGTTTAGAATCAAGGTTCTAGGGTAAGATTGCGATTTAGACTGATTTATGCTAGAATGTCGCAAGCAATGTTTTCAGATATAAACGTTTGTCTACGGACCGGTACAACATATATGTATGACAACGATATTCGAATACATTTTACCATATATCTCTCTGTCTCCTACAGCTTAACCCTGTGATGACATAACCGGGATCGTCCAATATCTCAACATTATTTGGAACATTCGCCGGAACCCCTAAGAAAGATTATCCAAGTTTGAGAAAATGTTTTTCCCTTGTTGATGTATTCAGCTTCGGCGTCAGCCAGAAAGAGGAAGTAGTTTACCTCACATGAAGGGATATAGTACAAGGACTGATCCTATTGGTTAATGGATATGGACTGTTATATGGTTAACCCTTAAGGGTATTTGTTTTTCTTTTTGTTATTGCTATAATAAAAAATATCAATATCCTTTCTTTGCTGCTGAGGAATAAAGAAAGAGATAAAGCCTAATACTCGCCTCTGTGTCCTTTATAAAATCATGACTTTACGTCATGTAATTAGTAAAATCTGGTAATTTATTACCGCAAAGATCTATACACAATTTCAGCCCTTCTTTACTTATTTTGACTTAAATGGACACTCTTAGCACAATAACCACCACAGCACCATCTAGTAGTTATGGCGCAAATATTCTATGGTTGCTGTCCAACAATTTATTGTCAAATTATTGGTAGAGTGGTTTGACATAAATAAACAAAGTTGTCTTGGCACCCTTAGAACTTAATAATGAGCTAAAACCAGCTTAAGATCTGAGCAAGGACCCACCGAAGGGCAGGCTAATTGAGCTGTTGTCCGTTCTCACCTCTCTTGCTACTTGTTTTTCTCTCCTTAAGTTTAAAGGGTAATCCAGACGTGGACCCCTTGCTCACAGGGCCCTAGAGGGATATTGGCTATACCTCACTGATGATGCCATACAGGGTTGAAACGATCGTCTGGGGTTGCTGTATCTCTCTTGCAGAGGGAACTTGCTGGCATTTCGGATCTGGACTGCCCGTACGGGTGGGACCAGTCTGATATGCTTCAGAGATGTTCTCTCTGTAATTGCACAAGTTGAGCTTAAACCAGCTTGAGATCTGAGCGGGGACCCGAAGGGCAGGCTATTTGAGCTGTTTGTTCTCACCACTCTTGCTACTTGTTTTTTTTCATTCAGAATTTACACTGAATTATAAATGTCATTGCACAGCAATGGCAGGCCTGTGACACTGACAAATTGTAGATTATGCTAGCTTTAGTGTACCTGTAATCTTAATTTTATTAATGACAGGAGGCGAGTATTTACTTAAGTCTCTCTTTACTAGAACTCCACAGCAGCACAGAAAAACAACCAATCAGAAAAAAGTTAGGTACTATAAAACTACCCTCCCATGCATCATTTCCTCTTTCAAGCTGTGACAAAAACAGAATAAAAGGCAGAAAACATAATGGGGAAGAAACAAAGTCCTAGATACGATGAATATAACGATGTCCACCATCCGAGAAGAACTGTCAAACCAGATAGCGTTGATGGACTGTAAACTGAAACGAGAGAAAAACAGAATCGAACAGGTTGATTATCCAATGAAATGTACTCTGAATAAACATGTAGGTACCCAATGTAGCAACCAAAAGTACCTTAATATGTAGATATCCCAACCCTACATATGAAAAAACAGACATAAGAACAGGCGACAGGTAACAGAGACAACAAGCAGAGTTGCATACGTACCTGATTAATCCAAACTATTAAAATTAAACAAGGGAGGGATAAGAATGAGTGGGAAATACTCGCCTCCTGTCATTAATAAAATTAAGATTATAGGTACACTAAAGCTAGAATAATCTACAATTTTATAACATGACAGAAGGCTTCGTATTTGCTGTTTTAATGCTCAGTCAACAAATCCAACGCTGTTTGTTTTGCTGTTACCTATTCCGGGAGCTATCCGAGCAATCCTAAATGGACTTTCCAACTGCGATAAATGACAATATAAAATCAAGAAAAAGAGTACGCGCTAAATAACAATAAGGTTGCAACCTTTAAAGGGGATCCCTCAAAAAACCCTCAAATACAATAAGGATAAAAAACAAACAAAGATAAAGGTTGCGCCAAAATAGACAAATAAAAATATAAATATGTATATAAAAGTCTTAGCTGAAAGGATTTTCTTTAGATCAAATAGTCTATAAAGTGCTTGTTCAGGAACAATGTCCTCGCTGTTCTTCCCCAGGGGGATCCAATATTATGAAACGATAAAACAGATACAAGAACCAAATAGTGTAGTACGTCCAATATGGTACAAGAAATAAAAAGAAGATAGGTAATGCACTCACATGTATTAGAGCTATAGCTAGCTCTTCGTATAAAAGGCGTACAGCGGTATGATCCCCACTTATGGGATATGGTGCAGGCTTCTTGTTCCACACTCAAATAAAATAAAAAGAGAGATGACCAATAGTGCTCACTGGATAAAATAGTGTAAATAAAAAGGTACTTACAAGAGTGGAGCAGGCAAACTGCTCCTTGACGACAGCATGGTGGTATGATCCCCACCTCAGGATTACTTGGAGTCCAAAAAGGATAAAATGCCAGGTAGAAAAATAATTAAAAATATATATAAGGTGTATTTAAAAAATGATTGGCACAATAAAAGGTGACCAAAAAATCTTTAATAGAATAAAATACACAAATTATGTTTCCACAAACGCGTTTCACCAACAAGACTTCTTCAATATGGAATTAAAACATCTTTGTTTATCTTTGAGAAGATAAAAAACCTCTACAGGTGATGTCTGTCTAGAAACAGACTAATCCACTCAACATGTAGAGCACGGGTGTCAAACACAAGGCCCGCGGGCCGAATCCGGCCCGCCAGACCTCGTCATGTGGCCCGTGTAGCCACCGCCGGCTGCCAGCCCAGTGGCGGATCCGGGGGGGGGGCAACAGGGCAATTGCCCCCCCCGAGAATACCGACGGTCTCCCTCTCCTGCCAGCCCAGCAATGTGCCTGCGGACCGGAGGGGAGATCAAAGATCTCCCTCCCCGGTCCGCAGGCACAGTGCTGACAGCCGGCGGGGGAGGGAGGGATAGAGGACCCGGAGCTCAGGCTGCAGCTCCTCCGGGTCCTCCTCTCGCGGGAGTTGGAGCGTTGCCGCGGTTACCACGGCAACGCTCCAAATCTCGCGAGAGTGAACTCTAGCCCTGGAGCGTGGGCTAGAGTTCACTCTCCCCACTGGGACCACCAATGAATCCCCTACCGGACCACCAGGGAAATGTACCCCCTCCCCCCAGTAAAGGTAAGAAGGGAGGGGGGACATAAATATATATTTTAATTAAAATAGCCCCCCTACCCTTATATCACACACACACACACTGCCCCCCATACACACACACTGCCCCCCATACACCCATACTGCCCCCATACACACACTGCCCCATACACACACACACTGCCCCCATACTGCCCCCATACACACACACACACTGCCCCCATACACACATACCGCCCCACACACACTGCCCCCATACACTCTGCCCCCCATACACACACACTGCCCCCCACTGCTCTGCCCCATACACACACACACCGCCCCCATACACACGTGCCCCCCACACACACTGCCCCCATACACACGTACTGCCCCCCATACACCCGTTCTGCCCATGTAATAATTGAATGCAGTGACAATAATTTATGATAATAAAGAGTGGACACATAGTCCTACAGATACAACCGGCCCTTTGAGGGTGACCAAACTGCTGATGCGGCCCCCGATGAATTTGAGTTTGACACCCCTGCTGTAGAGGATCACACCTTATAAGACACTCCAGAGGTGTCTTGGGGCATAACCCCTAATCAAGAATTACTATAGGATACTCAAAATAACGAATATGAGTATCCACTGGAATAAATAATAATAAATGTTATAGAAAATAGAAATACATACAGTAGAAGGATTCAATTATAAAAATAATAACAAAAAAGTCAGACGGAAGAGAAAATATAAATGCCTAATGGCTAACCTCCCTTCCTGATGTCTCTAAGAGTAAACGCTGGAGTTCACAGGTTTAGACTTTAATATAATCCTTAATAGGTCAATATCTGTGACTGCAGTTTTATATCAATTAAAAAAATGACAATAGTAATGAGAGACATAGGAGGCCTGCTTATACCTAGTGGAGCTCAAAATAGAGTAAACATAGTATAGTATAGTTTTCCCCTACTTATTCGTAATTTCGAGATATAAATCCCTTTAGTGGGAGTAATACCCAGTTAGTAAGAAAAAGTAGTGACAGATACCATGTAGAATTGCTACATATTTGGACACTGGATACTTAGTAGGCAGATTATCCAGCAAATAATAGCGAAAAAAGGAACGATATAAATGTAGCTAGACACTGTATATTCGATAGATACAGAATGATCCAATAAATAAAATGTATCCAAAATATGTCTATAGTGATGGATGCCACATATTAAGGGAATAAGACAGAAGGAGAGGTAAAGTGAAAGGTGAAAAAATGTGCTAAATGTGCAGAACCATACTTAGAGTGTTGGTTACCTGCAGGGCCGGACTGGCCCACCGCGATACCGGGAAATTTCCCGGTGGGCCGCGGCACCTGGGGGCTGCGCTGCCACATAGGTGGCACACTGAGAGGGGGCTGGCCGCGTTCCAGACTGGAGCCGCCGGGCCGGGTGGCAGCTTCGCCGGTCCGGCGGCACTCCAGTCACTGATGGCTGAAGGAGGAGGAGCCTGTCTACCATGCTCCCTCGCGGTTCCCACAATTCCCAGCACAGGAACCGCGAGGGAGCATGGTAGACAGGCTCCTCCTCCTTCAGCCATCAGTGACACCAGTGACTGGAGTGCTGCCGGACCGGCGAAGCTGCCACCCGGCCCGGCGGCTCCAGACTGGAACGCGCCCGGCCCCCTGCCTTCTCTAAGGTAAATTGGGGGCAGGGGGAGAGATAGGGAAAGGGGGTAGGGAGGGAGAGGGGAGAGACACAGGGAAAGGGGGGAGGGAGGGAGAGGGGAGAGATACAGGGAAAGGAGGGAGGGAGAGAGATGGGGAGAGGGGAGAGACACAGGGAAAGGAGGGAGGGAGATGGGAGAGACACAGGGAACGGTGGAAGGGAGAGAGATGGGGAGGAGGGAGAGACACAGGAAAAGGGGGAGGGAGAGGAAAGGGGAGAGATGGGAGAGACACAGGGAAAAGGGGGGAGAGATGGGTTGGAGGGAGAGAGATGGGGAGAGACACAGGGAAAGGGGGGGAGAGATGGGTTGGAGGGAGAGACAGGGAAAGGGGGGGAGAGATGGGTTGGAGGGAGAGACAAAGAGGGAGAAATGAGAGAGACACACAAGGGGAGGGGAAGAAAGAGGCAGAGGGGGAAGAGAGAGACTGGGAAGGAGAGAGGAGACATTGACACATACACACACACCATACACATTCACACACTGCCCATACACACACACACACCATACACATTCACACATAGACATTCACATACTGCCCACACACACACACACACACACACCATACACATTCACAAACTGCCCACACACACACACACACCATACACATTCACACACTGCCCACACACACACACCATACACATTCACACACTGCCCACACACACACACACACCATACACATTCACACACTGCCCCCCACACCCATACACATTCACACACTGCCCCCCACACCCACACACTGAACCTTTCACACACATTGCACCCCTCACACATTGCACCACTGCTCCTATACCCTACAACAGCCCCATATCCCAGCAGACTCCAGGTAAGTTGTCAAACTGTTCTTAAACGGTTTGACTACTTACTCTGGGAGGGGGTGTCAACACTACTGGCACCATAACCACTACACAGAGGAGTAGTGGTTATTGTGCATGGAATATTTCTTTAAATAATCTACAAGTGCCCCTCCCGGGCTCAGGCTCAGGATTCGTCACTGGTATATGACATGTATATTAATGTGTATATTTGTTATATTTATATATATATATATATATATTATATTTACACATATTAATGTACATTTATATGTGCATAATACACAGAGAAATTTCATTAATATGTACCATATGTAATGAGCAGATATTTTGCCCAATCTTGTTGCTAGGTGCATACTCAAGCACAATAACATATTTAAAGTGAAGAGCACACCCACAGGACTTCAAAATAAACATTTTTTACAGTTGTGCCCTACATACAGTCACCATTTCAGTCCCATTAACAAGCTTTCCTTAACCCCTTAAGGACTGGACTGCTTTTGCGATGTTGTACATTTGCGACCAGGCATATTTTTACACTTTTGTGGTGTTTGTGTTTGGCTGTAATTTTCCGCTTTCTCATTTACTGTTCCCATACAAATTATATGTTGTTTTTTTCAGGACAAAAGGGGCTTTCTTTACATACCATTATTTATATAATCTCATGTATTTTAATTTAAAAAAAATATGATGAAAAATTGAAAAAAAATACATGTTTTTTGACTTTTACTTGAAAAATCGAATGAAAAAAACTGCTAAATAGATTCAAAATGTTGTCCTGAGTTTAAAAATACCTAGTGTTTACGTGCTTTTTTGCTTTTTTTTGCATGTTATAGGGCTATAGGTACAAGTAGGATATTGCGGTTTCAAAACATACATTTTTAAAATTTATCAATAGTGACATTGTAACACTATTATCTGTCATAAATCTCTGAAAACACTCCACATGTACATTTTTTTTTTAAAGTAGACAACCCAGGGTATTCAATATGGGGTATGTCCAGTCTTTTTTAGTAGCCACTTAGTCGAAAATACTGGCCAAAGTAAGCATTCATATTTGTTTGTGTGTGAAAAAAGTAAAAAAACTAAATTGAACGCTAATTTTGGCCAGTGTTTGTGACCAAGTGGTTACTAAAAAAGACTGGACATACCCCATTTGCAATACCTTGGGTTGTCTTCTTTTGCAAATGGTATGCCATCATGGGGTTAATTCTCATTCCTGGGCTACCATATGCTCTCAAAGGCAACGTAACCAACCTGGCCATTTTCAATGTAAAAATATTTGACCCATATATTTGACCTTGTAACTTTCAAAAATGCTATAAAACCTGTACATGGGGGGTACTGTTTTACTCGGGAGACATCGCTGAACAGAAATATTAGTGTTTAAAAACTGGAAAACGTATCACAACAATTATATCATCAGTAAAAGTGCTGTTTGTGTTTGAAAAATGCTAAAAAAGTAACTTTCACTGACAATATCATCGCTGTGATATGTTTTACTGTTTTGAATCACTAATATTTGTGTTCAGCGAAGTCTCCCGAGTAAAACAGTACCCCCCATGTACAGGTTTTAGGGTGTCGTAGAACGTTACAGGGTAAAATACAGTTTCTAGCAAATTAAATTCTCTGGAATTTCGGCCTGGGTTGGCAGGCAGGTCCCTCAAATTGCAATCAATAAAATTACTGAATTATGTAAAAATATTACATAAATACGCACGTAGAATTTAAATATATGTGCATATTTATATAGTTTAAGTCTACGTGTATATATTTATAGAATTATTTATGTAATTTTGTATATGGACATATGTATATTTCGTATTATTTTTTATTTATTTATATATACATAGATATATATACAAATTCATTCTAAGTGTATTTTGATATAAATATATATATATATTAATTTTAAAATACAGTTAGAATAAAATTTCATATAGATATATAATTTTTTTTAAAATTTTTATTATTATTTAAAAAAATTATTTAATTTAAATTACTTATTATTTATATTTTATAATAATATATATATATATACAATAGTCCCCCTGCAGGCAGACACATGGACACCTATTGTGACCATGTGATCGCTGTGTTAAGCGATCACATGGCCACAGGGGTCCTAATTCAGTGTGGGGAGACTGTCTGGGCTGCAGGCAGTCTCCCCACAACCGGAGCCACGCTGATCGCCGCCGGGGGAACGACGGCGATCAGGTAAGTAGCTCAGACCGTTAGGACGGTTCAGGACCGTCATCGGTCTGCAAGGCAAAAATGCAGATGACGGTCCTGAACCGTCCTCGGTCGGGAAGGGGTTAATATGTCAAGGTAGTTGGACTGAAACATTGATTACATGCAAAGGCACGTCTGCTTAAAATAAATCTGCACTTTTGTTTATTTTGAAGCCTATGAGTGCGCTTTTTACGTTGAAGTACTTTTTAATTTTAAGTTATCTGTTCTAACTCTATCTGCACACTATGCTGGCGCGATGCATTATGGGGCTGGTAAATATTTTTTTTCCAGGGCTGCTTTGAATTCCCAGTCCGGCCTTGGTTACCTGCACATTGTGAAAGAGTGCCCTATGAGTGAGAAAATGAGGGGAAAAGGACCCCCCTCAAACCCAACGCGCGTTTCGGTGCCTTTGTGATGCACCTTCGTCAGGGGATAATCCGTACTGACCAGCGGGTCCCTCTTTTAAATGCTTTAAATACGTAAGTTCTAACTTGGATAGAAGGCAAATAGCAGGCCGGAAGGCAAGTCAAGTAAGCCCCACTGAACAGGGTCAGGAGCTAACCTTACGCAGGAATAACTACCGATATCTAGATGGATATCGGGAGGCAGTTAGAGGGTTAGTTGTTAAAGACAAGGAAACACCGTGTCCCCCTGTAGGCGTCTGAGTACCGGTCCCTGCCTGTGCGAAGTTCTCCTTGAAGATGTGCCATTGCCGGGTTGGTGGAAACCGTGGATGCATGCCCGGGGTCTTAATAAGAAACCTTGCCCTTCAGGCATGAGGTTTAGGGCCTTCACCCTTCCCACCATACTCAGGTGGCCGTATACTGGCGTCCTCTTGGATAGTATGGCAACGGTGCTTGCCTGGACACCTGCCTATCTCCAGGTCACTAGTGGGTACTGGGTTTTCCTCAGTGATATTCCCCCAGGCCTGTGGCCAAAAGCTGGTTCGGCACCGATAGAGCCCGTCAGAAGGGCACAGGCCCAGCAGGCCAAACGAATGGGCACAGAATAGTTAGCCAATCAAATAGGCACAGACATAGCAGGCCAGTCAAAGGGGCACAGACATGGCAGGCCAGTCAATGGGGCACAGACATGGCAGGCCAGTCAATGGGGCACAGACATGGCAGGCCAGTCAATGGGGCACAGACATGGCAGGCCAGTCAATGGGGCACAGACATGGCAGGCCAGTCAAAGGGGCACAGACAGAGCAGGCCCGTGATAGCGTGCTGACAGCCGTAGGGCCGATCTGCGTGTGTAGAGTCCACTATATATATAATATACGTAATGAAACAGGGAAACCTTGGGTTAAATAATTTCAATATGTAAAACCCACTAGCAGGGTAGTAATGTGATTATAACAGTATTTTTACATAATACCTCTGGATTAAGTTGCTATAATGTCTCCAGTCTAATATCACAGATGTTACAGCTACTAGTGATGAAGTGCTATACCACTATACAGGGAACTGACAGACTTTATTGTTTGGCCAAAGGCAGAAAACCAAACTGCAGGCATCTCAGAGCAGTACAGGGTGTACTGCCTAAAGCCTATTCTCCAGCCCAGCAAAATATTTATATAAAATTATATAAATGTGGAGTCATCTTGGGTTATAGATTAACCCTGAGCAGGGTGAAGGGCCCTCATCTGATATAAAAAAACTCCGGCTGTGAGCGGAATCCGACCTTGATTGACAGAGGGGAGGAAAGCCCCTCAAACAGACCTCCAACCAGTTAAGAACAGACGGGGGAGGGGCTGCGAGCGGTCGCACCCTCCCCCGCCTGGACATGCGGGCGGAGGCAGCCGTGGCGAAGCGGCCACGTGGGAAAGGAGATCCGGGTGCTCGTCTCGAGCTCCCCTGCGACCAGAAAAAACACACACAGGACCGCCGAAGATGAACTCTGCGGTCCCGGAGCTCGGGGATCAAAGAAGGCAGATGCAGTCAGCCTCCTGAAGCCCCCGAGCAGCGCACACAGACACCGCCAGACATAAGGACAAAGGCGGAACAAAAAATATAACAACGAGCATACACAAAGTTGGGAGACCGACAGGGGGGACAAGGCCAAGTGGATAGAGGAGACAGGAGGACCCCAAAGACCCCCCAGAAATCCAAACTAAATATGTATATAACAGTGATAGCCTGAAGTTACAAGTAAAAATAAAGTCCCACAGGGGTTTTAACAAAACTGCATGTGTAAGGAAAATTTACACATGGCCAAGGTAATACTGCATATAAAATGAATCCCACAAGGCCTAAATAAAAAATTCTGAAAAGATATTCAATATATAAGCATAAAAATCCCACAAGGGTAAATAAAATACTGAATATGAAGAAATAAATCCCACAAGGAACATAACAATATTGTATTATAAAAATAAAATCCTCAAGGATTATATCAAAACTGCATTATAAGAATAAAATCCCACAAGGATTCTAACAGTACTGCATTATAAAAATAAAATCCCACATGGACTATAACAATACTGCATTATAAAAATAAAATCCCACATGGATTATAACAATACTGCATTATAGAAATAAAATCCCACATGGACAATAACAATACTGCATTATAGAAATAAAATCCCACATGGATTATAACAATACAGCATACAGGAATAAAATCATACAAGGATTATAACAATACTGCATTTATAAGGCTAAAATACTGATTATAAGCAATAAAATCCCAAAGCCACCCACTGTAAGCAGGAGGCAGTGGTACTCTGACCTGTACTGACTGCAGAGCAGCAAAGAAAGAGGCAATGATGCATGGGGAGGGAGTTTTATAGTACCTAACTTTTTTTCTGATTGGTTGTTTTTCTGTGCTGCTGTGGAGTTCTAGTAAAGAAAGACTTAAGCAAATACGAATACGAAGCCTCCTGTCATGTTATAAAATTGTCTTCATTGCAGAACATTGATATCAGAATAGAGTGACGTGTCACAACACTCCTGTATTTCACTGACAAAGTGCAGGAGGCACCCACTAGAGGGATAATCAAGTAACTACAAAGTTTGTGTTGTAGATGTTGTGAGCGGTAAGAGTACCACCCATAGAACGGTTCTCCTGACACTCACTTGTCAGCATAGAGAAGTATGCAAAGAAATGATTGACAGATGAAGGCAGAACCCATATTTTTATATTTTTTCTGCTAGCACAATGCAGAGATTAATTTTTTCTTCTCCATAATTGACACTTATGTATGACAGGTACAGTTTAAAAGGTTATTCATACTCCACACAGCCTCTGTTACCACTTCAGCTTTTAGACGTGGTCATGGAGTAAGCAATCTGGACATGCAGTGGCTCTGCGTGAAACGCTGCACATACAGAGATATTTGCACTGTTGTGTCGGGGTTAATACACCCCTGGCTTTGTGTCGTGGTTAATACACGACTTGGGCTGCATAATTCTGTGCAAAACTTACAGCCGTCACTTCAGGAGATACCGATCTGTGAAGCAGGGTAAGACTGAACACTTTGGTCATGGAACATGTGTTGTCGGAGCACTATGTGCTGGCGATACACATAATCAGCTTTCACCCTTGTAGACAGCGCATGTACACCCCATACTCCCTGCCTCTCTCTGCTCTGAGCCTGGAGATTGGTCCAATTAAATGCTTCTCTGTGAAGAGCCTTTAAAAGTACGTTGGAAAGGCAAGAAGTGGTGCAGTGTGGAGAGGAACCTTGCCCAAATCTCGATTTCTATTACGTTCATTCTTATTTCACAGGTTTTGGCACTAAAAAAAGGTGGGTAGACAAAGTTACCAGTGCCAAATAGGGTATTAAAAATTAAATAACATGAATAACAAAAAGGGTTGGAGTAACTTAAGGCAAGGAAATGATAGCAATTTTTATTATTATTCATAAAGCACTAACATACAAGAATTACACAAATCATACTAGTAGACCGTAATAACTGCTTACTTTTGTGTTTCAAGAGCATCAGCTACACACATCTGTTCTTATCAGCCATCAGCTACTCAATATATTTTCTAGTAATTAATAGTAAAGCAAATTATTAAGGGTCCCTTATAAAGGACTGTGAAACCCTTCACCCCATCTAAGCCTAAAAGATTTGTTAGGCTTCATTATATAAATAATCACGTGTCTTATCTGTTACCTGCTTCCCGTAAAAGGAACCTGTGCTAAATTGTATGACAAGGTAATAGTGTTTAGTCAGCCTGGGTCCTATTTACGTGTATTCACTGTGAATCCCTGCATTTAGCGTGAATGATGTCAAGGCATGCCCGGGCAGTGGGTATAGTACAATACACACACACACACACGAGTGATTACGCCCACGCCTAGCCCTTGGCTGGGATCCACTGCAAATACTGCGGTCAGAGTAAACTTGTACAAAGGTGTGGGGCAGCTGTGAGAAGTATCACCTGTTAGTTAACTTGATCCTTTCCAAAGCATTTGTACTGTAAAGGCGCCCGGCAATGAGTTGAATAGACACCCCATAGGTATAAAAATAAGGGCCAATTTTAAAAGGGGTGACGAATCGCCAGTAACACTGATCTTTGTTCACTAGTGCCCCTCTCGGGTCTACTAAGCTACTTTAAAGAAACACTCCAAATACTATTAACACTACAGTGCGCTGATGTGGTTATAGTGCCAGAAGTGCCCTGCCCCCCATTGTAAGTAGTCAAATCTGCTTCTATACTGGAGCTTCCATTAGCACTCCTGAACTAAACCTCAGCTAATTATTCTTAGCCAATGACCGAAGTCCTGCACTGCTGCCTTTAGCTCACTAAGTGAGGTCTGGCGTAGTGAAGACGGGGAGTGGTGCCAGGCAGACTCAAGGTAAGAAGTGAAACCGTTCTAAAATGGTTTGACTCCTTACAAATGGAGGCCACCAGGGCACTTGTGCAATCATAACCCCATACTGCGTATTATTGTGCTTGGAGTACTGCATTAAAAGCTAAGGGTATGAAAACAACTGATGAATTGAATGTGTAAAAAAAATGGTTGTCTTTCAGGTTTTGTTGTTTGTTTTTTTTGAAGTGAAACTTGCAGAGGAAATAACATGCTAATGGTCTGGATTATCAGTATCACATAATTTGTTTTCGCTACAATACTATTGTCCCGCAACTCAGCATTAAGCCTGCATGGTAATCATGGTAACAGCAGAATACTGATCATTTAATTTCATGGAAAAGGTGGATATACTGACATAAACGTTTGTCTCTTTGCACAAACCATGCACCTTTTCTGCTATGTCTTCAGCCTTCAGCAACTGGTGCCGTCATCTGCCAGGAGTTAAAGGGACACTATAGGCACCCAGACCACTTCAGCTCATTGAAGTGGTTTGGGTAGTGTGCCCCTGTCAGTTTAACCCTGTAATAGAAAATACTACAGTTATTGAGAAGCTGCTATAATTACACTAAGGGGTTAACTGCACTTCCGGGTCGTTAAGCGACTTTTGGTCGCCGATGTGACGCTGGACGTCCTCATGCTATGCCTTTGGACGTCCAGCATCACCCAAAACCCCACAGGAAGTCATCATACAATGCTTTCCTATGGGGCTGTCCTAATGCGCTCGCCAACGTTGGAGAAGAAGTCAAGGTGGAGCCTGACCCTCAGGTAAATGACAAAACATTCTGCGCTGCGGTGGTGGGCACTACAGGGAGTTATGGCAATTTTGTATGCCTAACCTATAGTTTCCCTGCATGCATACATGTGTCAAGAGCACAAAGCAGGTGAGCTTACAAGAAGGTGGCATTATAAATAGATGATTTTGCACGTGCAGACCGAGATGTTTCAGACATGAATGTTTAACATCAGCTATTGTTTGCCATGGTTGATCTGGAAGTGGCAAGACGTGGCAGAGAAAGCTGCTTGAAGCACTGCCCATTACCACATCTTATATAAATTCGTTTTTAACACTTGAGTTATCCTTTTCATTAGCAGGATAATCCAACATTCGAGGTCATTCCTGATTGAAACTAGAAGTAGAAAAGGTTTTTGCTTACAGCAGAGGAAAGGTGTCTATACTGTAAGAACAGTATAGATGCAGAATCCTCTGCCCAAACAGATCTTATGAGATTCTGTATATATTTTTAAAGGTCTGGATGTTTTGGGGAAAAACAGAGTATTCAATTATATAATTAATATATGTGAACAGGTTATTAATCCAAGGAAAAAATCTGATTGCCATTATGGAGTCAAGAATGTTTTTCCCCCCCTTTTTGTGTCATAATTGGAAATGGCTACAATTATTTTTTTTGCCTTCTTTTGGTGTCAACAGTATAAAAGAATGGGCTTCACGGTTGGTTCTTTTTTTTAATGTAACAAAGTACTCTCTACTTTGTCTTGTGTATATTTTCCTCTGGGTGCATTGCAATTTCATGAAAAACTCCAAAGTGAAGGTGCTGAAGGAAATATGACAAAAGGAGTGAATTGTGTCAGGAAGGGTGAGTTATGGCAAGTATGGATGAAAAATGGCAAATGTACCCAACTCACATATAACTTGCATATTTTTTTATACTATTGTATTGTATATACACCTTTCAATTAAGTTTCACTATGAATAAAATGCGACTTAACTTTACCCAGTTGTATACTTATACCATGGTCCTTTTGGGATGTAAGCTGGCCTGTTTCTCGCATGTCCGACCAGTTACTTGATTGCTTGCCCAGTCATTGTACATTGCTTTGAAATTGCTGAAAATGTATAAATAATAATAAACACAGCAAGAGGATATGCTAGGAACATATGTAGCTGCCTGAACGAACAATCACTTTTTACAATACTCTGCGCATGCATGTTAAGAGCTTGCGTGTCAGCAGCATCATGTAAGCTCTTTTACAATCCATTCTCCTAAGATCCAGAATTGGAGTCTGATAATATTTAGAGTATATCATAGAGAGCCACAGCTGTAATACAGACGATAATTTGAGAGATGGATAATATGACCAATTCTGGGCCATTCAGGCCATTAACGTGGAGCAATCAACATGGATGCCATTACAACATTCCTGCTGAATTCATTTATAAAATGGTAAATTTTGCTTCATATTAAAGGGATTATCTAAGCACTTTAGCGTCCTGTAGTAGTTATAGTGTTAGGCATCCCACTGTTAAGAGTCAAGTCTTGATGCTTACTTGGGCAATATGAATTGTGTCAATCTTTGAACAGAATTAATTGGTTAAGAAGCATCAGTTGAAACTCTCAGCTAATGAATTCCATCCAAACTGTAACTTCAGATCAATGCAGTGGTTATGGTGCCAGGTGTCCCCTAACACCGTCCCACTCTTAAGAGTCACTTGCATGGGTTCTCTGGGTTCCTATAGGCTGGCTCATCATTACAGATATCTCTGAAGAAATAGTTCCCCTTTCGCTTAAGCAACATTAGTTTTGCACAATTTAGAGTGGAATTAACTGGTTAAGAAGTGTCAGGTGATAGTCAGTCAATGAATTCCATCAAAACTGGATAGAATTGATGTTGCTCATATGGAAGAGGAACATCTGTTTCAGACATGACTGCTGATCCAAAAAAAAAAAACACCTCCCGTTGCCCTACGTAAATAATAACACCACACAATAGTTATGTGTAAGGGCAACGGCCACAGCTTTATTAATTTTAACACAGACCAGCTTTCCATCCAACTGCCAGCTGTTGAGAGACTTCTCCCAACAGGCAGATACCACTTCTTTGTCCATGAGTTCATATCAGCCTGCCTACAGCCATCAGCCCTCGGCAGGCTGCGACTCCCCAAGTTGACTCATCAATTTCTTTCAATTACCAATGCGCTGGCCAGGAACATAGACACACACCGCGATGTCGACCCTGTCCAGTCCCTCCTGTCGGCATTGCGCCCCCCCCCCGCAGCCAGCGCAAACTCCACTCCAGACTGAAGTCCCAAATTAAAAATATCAAGCCCAATGCTAGTTAGGTGGACACCATCCCTCCGCATCCCTTCATGTTCTCCCCTTCCAACTCCACGTGGCGAACCACTATGCCCCCGAGACTTCGAACAAACCTGGCAACCATCATGTCTAATTTTTGCCGAGCCCGTTCAATCCCGCGGGCGTGTGACAATGCCCGCCAACAGGGGTGCGGAACCATTTCAGACCAAATAAGCGTGAGGTCTCGGAAGAGCGCCATGCCTCCGAGAATCCTAACATGCCTGCCTGAGTAGCGGCCCCAATCCGAAAGGAGTGGACCGAGTATCCTGAAACGTCCACACCGACCGCCAATAAAACCGCCTTAAGCCTAGCGGAGAACTGATATCGCGTTAACGGGGACCCATCAGCATGAACCAATAAGGAGCCCACCCCACCCGGACGAACTGCTAAGTACGATTCCAACAATCGCACCGGGCAGAAGGGGCAACTAGCAGCACCAATTCGAACCCAGGCACCTCGACCAGATCCAGAGCCGAAGCCGACATATACACGTCCGACAACAACATAGGAGATAACGACCGTAAGTTAGGAGCCACCAGCTCCCCCACCCTGAATGCCCCAAAAAAACATAAGGAAAAGGCTACCCGAAAAAGCAACACCTCAAAGTCAGAAGCACATACCTTCGTGAGATCCTTCAACAAAAGCTCTAGCGCTGAGATCGGCCTCTGACGATCCTTACCCTTTTGAAGTCTCCAACCCTTCAACACTCGCTGAATAAGGAATGCTTTTGAAAGATCCTTCCAACCCAGAAACCAAAAGCAAAAGGACAAGGCAGACATAGCACGCACCGCCACCGCACTGGACTTACCTTGAGACTCCAAAGAGGCCAGGAGAAGCAGAGTGGCCTCGAACCGGCCCTCCTCCGATAAAACCCCTTTAGTCCTGTTAGCCAAGGACAGCCAGCGAGACAATACCACCTGATAGGCCCGCCATGACGCCTGGGATAGCGAATCCGACAACAATCGTCTCAGGCCTCCAAAGCCAGGTTCCATAAAGATGGAGGACAGGGAAGACCCACGCGGTCTGTTCCGGGTGCCACTTCTCGAAACCAGTCCCACTGCAACTGAGAGAGAGAGTCAGCCACCACATTCAATACCCCAGTAACATGACACGCCTTAACCCATACATTGAAGCGTAAGCTCAACAGAACTAAGCGCCGGAGCAAGGCCAGCACCGGAGGGGAGGCAGAAGTAGCCTGCGTAATAACGTGAACCACGCTCATGTTGTCAGTATGAAAAATGACATGACCTCGCAAATCTCCACCCCAAAATTCCAATGACACCACAATCTGAAAGAGCTCCAAAAAGGTGAGGTTGCGCATGATATACCTTTCCAGCCCACAGGCCATGACTCAGCACACCACTGACCACGAAAGAAAGCTCCAAATCCCACGGAGCCAGAAGCATCCATAAAGAGATCCAACGATGCATTAGGTGCAGCCTCCCGGAGCCAACATGAGTGGCCATTGTAGGTGGCCAGAAAGGAACTCCAGACCCGTAAATCCTCCTGCATGCGGTTGTTTACCCTGATGAAATGATGCAGTTCTTGAATACCAACCGTGGCCAACAACCATCGACGACAGAATGCCCGACCCAGGGGCAGAACCCGACACACAAAGGTCAGGTGACCCAAAAGGTCCTTCATCTGATGCAATTGAACCTTCCTAGCTCCTTTGACCAGGCCCACTGTCTTATTTTCGGCGACCGGAACCCCAAACCCCTTAGCTATAGCCCGAAAGGAAGCCAGCAAGTCCACACATACTTGGGACCCTGCAGGGCCCACAAACAGGAAGTCATCCAAGTAGTGCATAACTGAGTTCCAACCTGATTGCTGTAACCCATTCGAGAAAGGATGAAAACATCTCGATGTAGGAGCAAGAAATCGCGCACCCCGTGGGCAGGCACATGTCGTAATAATAACTACCACGAAAGTGGCAACCCAGGAGGTGGAAGCACTCGGGGTGTACTGGTAACAACCGAAAAGCAGACTCAATGTCTAACTTGGTTAGCAGGGCACCTGCTCCGGCTGCCCGCACCAGTTCCAAAGCCCTATCAAAGGATGCGTATCGAACTCGACACACCTCCTTTCCGATGTCATCGTTCACAGATCCTCCAGCCGGGTAGGATAGGTGATGAATCAATCGGAAGGAGCCAGGCTCTTTTTTGGGGACTAAACCCAGCGGCGACATGCCGAGATTGTGAAAAGGAGGGAAGACCAAGGGGTCGGCCATCCGCCCCAGTCTAATCTCCCTATCCAATTTGTCCTGTAACCTATCCTCCATCCCGCGGACTGATTTTAAGTTCTCCGCAAAACAAAAGGACTCAGAGAAGACAAATGGAATCCAAAACCCCTTCAAAAATCCCCCTAACAGAACCGCCGCGGCACGTCTATTGGGATACCGGTCGAGCCACGGCCGCATCCTTGTGACGCTCACTGGAGTCCTCACTTCTAGGTACGTCATCCCTGTCGGCTCCCTTCCCCGTAGCCTGTCTCCCCTTTTTAAAGAAGCGCATAGCGGGGTATGCTCCTCCACAATGAGAGCATTCATGTCTGAAACAACAGGAACTGAACCATTTACACTGGCTTTCATTGAACAGCCAGCAGACTCCTCTCTTGTGGCCTGCTGGCACGCCACTGTGCACGCCGGCAGGCCCGGGAAAGGGAGATGGCCTACACAGCGTCATCAGAAGTAGCCATAGGCTACCATCCTGCATGCTGAAATCCATATCCGGGCATGCTGCCACTTTTTGCCTAAATTGTTGGTCGTAGCGAAACCAACATTGACACCCATAAATATTATAAGCCCCCCAGATTAAATCCAGATACCCAAATAGAGAGCTAGCCTTGTCTGGAAAACGACGGACTAGGATACTTGAATAAGTATTAAACCCCTGAAGCCAGTTACCGAACGTGCGAGGAATCTGCTTAGACTTGTCGCCCTCATGCAGTTCCCCCCTACGGGGCCTGTCAACAGATTCCCTGTCAGGGGGAACCAATGACAAGAAGTCAACGTACTCACCATTACATATCCTTTCCTTGCTTCTCCGCGGGGATATGGACTCCCAGGGGGGATATGAGACACCCACGCAGACACGGTCTGAACCCCCCTTGAACCCCTTTAGCTACCTGCGCTCTATTGCTCTGCGCCTGCGACCCCCCCAGACAACTTCTCTAATACTGCGCGCAGTAAACTCAAAACCTCCCTAGAGCTACCCTGATCCCCAGGCAACTCACCCCAGATGCTAGCGCAAGTCAACTCACCCCTGGAGAGTGGTACAGGCGGCTCCTTCACTGTAGGTATGACAGCTTCTTCCTCTTCCTCTGTCCAAGAGTCTGAATCTGACTCACCCCGAGCAGAACTTATTCTCCTTGCACTCCTGCTGGTTTCCAGCAGAGTTGAGTATCTTCTAGCATCTCTCCCTGGCACTCCTGTCTGCTTCTGGCAGAGTTGCAGGGCTTCTGACATCTCTTCCACAATGTCTGGCACTCCTGCCGGCTTCCGGCAGAGTTGCTGGGCTCCTGAGGATAGATCCGGGGTCTCCGACCCGCCAGAGAGGAAGGGGAGGCAGGGCCTATGACGTGGCAGCATCCTGCTGTGCCAGCGTCATGTACACGTCCCCCAGCGATGCGTCCGACGTCATTCTTCTGCGTCCATGCGTCGGACGCGATGAGGTCACTTCCGCTCTTACCGGAATAGATGGCGGACTCCGTGAATGAACCGCCATGCCAGCGCCATCTTGGGCCCTTGCACCGACACAATGGCAGAGCGCCTGTGCCTAATATTCAACTAGGGGGTCTCCTCCGAGCCATCCGCACCGGAACTCCTTACTGAAACCCTCCGATCTCCACGCCTGGTACTGGTTCTTCTTACAGGACTGCGGGATAAATGCGTCGGAGGCTTTGTCCTCCTGGCCCTCCGACCATCTGCAGGGGGGTCTTCCGCCGTTCTCTCCAACACAGCAGCACTTACAGCCGTCCTCTCCAGCGCAGCAGCACCTGAACTTCCAGCAACGCCGGTCATAACTTCATCAAGGGCGCCTGAGCCATGAGACTCCAGGTAAGCCTGCAGCATGCCAACCAGTGCCTCCTGGGACACCGTCGTTTTAGTAGATGACATCATGAATTATAGAAACTACTGATAAATCTAACACTAGATCTAAATTGCTAGGCCCTAATCTCCTGTAAAATTAGCACGATCTCACTCCTAACTTTACTGAGAAACTGATATGGCCCCTCCTCTGAACTGCTTTATATTTCATTTTGCAACAAAGTATGCAATATAGCCACCCTTACTGCTGGCCTGCAGTCATGCCCTCCCTTCCTTTTCAGTCCAGGGAGATACTGATCTGAGAATTTGATCTTTTGGATTTCAAATGTGTTTCTAAGAAGTAAGCTTTAATTCTCTTTGGAATCTGCACTTTTACAGAGGGGAAAAAAAGAGTACAATCTGTTTAATCACTTTTTACCCTGCATCTCTCCTCCAATTTAACATACTTCACTAACTCATTACAAAGCTCTGCTATCTTCCCTCCCACTACCTTCCAAGGCTGCGCATATGCGCAGATTCTAATCTCCTTAAATATACAATAAATAGATGTAAACACATTAGTGAATGTGGATGCCAACTCTGTGTATATTTAGCTTTGTGCACACAAAAGCTCAGAGCTTCCCCAGCAGAGTAGTGAGGAGAGTGTGGGCAGTTTTATGCATTTTGTTGTTAATAACTGAGCTGGCAAACATTAACCAATGGAATGTTTAAGCTGGGAAAGGTCAGATGAACAGCTGTATGAAAGACTTTTGCCCATGGAGAGCTGACATGTCTGGGTTCACAAACACTATACATGCAAGCTAAGATACATATTAAAGTCTGTGTTAATTAAAGGCACCTCACTTTAAATAGTTACTCTAAGCTTTATGACCATTTCAGTGATTTGAAGTAGTTATGGTGCCTGGAGTCTTTGCAACATTTTGCTATGAAAGTCTGCTTATACAGAGTTTAACCCTTGTGCTTCCACCAGTGGTGTATCCTGGTTTTGTGCTGCCCTAGGCAGGACAAAACTCAGGCGCCCCCCCCCACACCTTCTAATTACACACACACAGTCAGACACATACACACACACTCAGACACAAACACACACAAAGTCAGACGCACACAGTCAGAGACACACACACACACACACACACACACACCCAGTCAGACACAAACACAAACACACACCCAGTCAGACACAAACACATACACACACACAGTCAGACACACACACATAGTCAGACACACACACACAGACACAAACACACACACAGACACAAACACACACACAGTCAGACACACACACAGTCAGACACACACACAGTCAGACACACACACAGTCAGACACACAAACAGTCAGACACACAAACAGTCAGACACAAACACACAGTCAGACACACACACACACACACACACACAGTCAGACACAAACACTCACATTAACTTTTTTTTTATTTAACCCCTCCCCCCCCAGCCTCCTTACCTTTGGGAATGCTGGGGGGCGTTCTCTTTATCCCTGGGGTCCAGTGGCTGCCGGTCGGGCTGATGGGTTGGCTGCTGGGCGGGCGGTGCTGGCGGGCGGCTGGCGAGGGAGCCGGAATATGACGTCATCAACCCGGCTCCCAGCCTCACTCTGTGGCGCGCGAGGGAGCTGAGCAGACCGCTCAGAGGAAGTGCTCCCTCGCCAGCAGCCCGCCCAGCCCGCCCGGTATGTTTGTTAGCCGCAAGGCTAACAAGGCATTTGCCCTGGGCATTTTGGGGGCTGCGTTTTTTGCCGCCCCCTGTAAAATGCCGCCCAAGGCAAATGCCTTGTTTGCCTCGAGGCTAAAACGCCCCTGGCTTCCACAGGTGTAATTCAATCTCTGGCAGCGTCATTGGGGTGTCATGGGGTATCCCCCTTCATTGTACACAGGAATGGATTACACATTAGGCAGAGTAGGCACCTGTCTACAGACACGTTCTTTAGGGGGCATATATTTACAGAACTTATAATGTGCCTTTTTGGAGCTCAAGTGGTCTATTGGGGAAATACAACTACCAGGAGTCTCTGACTTTTGGATATCTATACATGCATACCTCCCAACTGTCCCTATTAAGGAGTAACAGTCCCTATTTTGGGACCAAATCCCTCTGTCCCTCCGTACTATTCTAATTTCTCTCTTTTCTAGGATCTCAATATACTTGGTGTGTCTAAATGTATAACATGAAGTCCTTGGAGTGTGCTCCTTCATGTTATAATTTTCCATTACATTTTTTTTATTTACACCTCTTTATCTGTGCAAGATGCATTATTGGGCTGGTATAAAAGAATTCCAGGGGTGCTTTTTATTCCCAGTCAGGGCCTTATAGGAGACTTGATCGGCACTCAGGGGCTGTGACATCTGCTAATCTGGGATAACCAAGAAATTTTAGAACAGTGGAAAAAAAGAGCAGTGAAACAGAACACTTTTCGGTTGGAAAAACTGTCCGAAAAATTGGTAATCCATTATGTTGCCTATAAAAATGGTGTATATTGAAAAATTTGTTTTTTTGGCATAAAAGGTGCAACAGATGGGGAAAAAAGACAGAATTAATAAATTGCTCCAAATACTAGCCACAAATTAGCCAAAAAAGTGTTGGCAATACTTTGATAAAACTCCCCTGAAGTGTCCCAGGGATTTCTTTTCAAATCTTGACAACTATGGTTTGAAAAAACAGGATGCAAGAGAGTGAACTGTAGAACAAAATCATTAAGAGATTAGTTTTACCCATTCTATTTTGTTAATTGATTTCAGAAGCTGATGACTTGTGAAAATTCACAAGCATTATTATGGATACGCACAAATGATTCTATTTGTAAAGGGTCTTCTTGGTAGTGAAAGGGATTATTGTGAAATGCCACCAGTGACAGTAAGTGATTAGCCGTTTTCACTGAAATGAAACTTGTATAATCTGTGTACTATTTGCACACAATGGACAGATCTGCAGTGCTAAACACCCAGATAAGTGTTTAAACATCTTCTCACATTTTCTGTCTTCCTTTCTAGAATCTGGAAGAGGGACTCACTGACAGCCTGTTTAAACATATTAGTGTGCTGCTAATCAATGTATTGAGTAACTGGTGTGAGCGACGAAGGAGAGGCCTTCTCACAATAAGCTTCTGTCAATGATTCCCAGTATTCCAGTCACGGTATTGTGGGCTCTCGGACATGAAACCCTCACTCCACATTGAATGTGAAAGTGAATTTAAATATTTAGTCCAGAGTAGCAGAAATGGAAAAATCCTTCAACTTCTCCAAATCCATTCTGTTTCTAGTTTGGCTACTTTGGCCTTACATTTGAAATTCACTTTGAAATCTATATATTTTTTTTTTTAAGAATAAGCCTGAATATATTGGAGGCATTTAGAAACTTCACATTGCTATTCTTTCTTTGGAAAAATTAAAGCCAAAGTATGGATTAACAAATGTATGTGAACTGGAATGTATGCTAATCATTGACAAATTGAAAGAACTATACCAGGTACCTGAAACAGATAAAAACTATAAATCACTTGAGATATCTCCTTTAGAGAAAGTTTTTTTATACAGCCCCGCTAGTAAAGGTATGATATCCTTATGTTACTTATCTCATAATGCCAAGCCCTTAATTAAATTAAAACATATGCTGTCATGGGAGACGGAGTTGGGTGCCCAGTACGATTTAGAAGAATGGTTCGTTTTTTTTAAAGGTTTAAAAGGTATTTTGTATTGCACCGACCATTTTGAAAATCATTATAAAATTTTATATCGCTGGTACCTGGCTCCGTCTAGATTGCACAACATGAACAATATGTATTCTGACCGGTGTTGGAGAGACTGTGGGGGTGTGGGCAATATGGCCCATATCTGGTGGTTCTGCCCCAAATTAACTAATTATTGGAAAATGATTCATGATCTAATTATTAAAGTGAACAGAACCATTAGCATTTTAACTTCGGAACTAGCCTTATTTAAAAAACTCCCGGAGTCCGTTAATAGATCAGATAAAATAATCATAGGCCACATTCTGATCGCTGCTACATCCTGTTTACCTAGACATTGGAAGTCCCAAAATGTGCCATCTCTCAGAGAAGTTTTTAATTTGATTCTAGAAAACAAGGCACACAAATTATGGCATAGAGCTAATATGCATGGTTTCCCAATATTAAAATATAATTGGGATAAATGGGAAGAAAAAATCAAAACAGTTTATGGTCTTTGATATATTTATTGTTAAAGTGCATTGATGTACAAAATGTTTGCCATATACATTGTTATGCCTATTTCAATGATGGATGGATACCCCTTCCCATTTACAAGTTCCCCTTCCTTTCCTACCCCTAACACAATGTTTGTATTATTATTACTTGTCATATAAAATGTTAAAACTTTAATAAAAATTATTTGAAAAGAAACTTCAATATTCCTTTCCCTTTACTGTATTTATTAGTGTTGCGGGCACTGTTAAAATCGCTGCA